TACTTGTTAGGCGTACTTCTCCCACACAAGTGGGAAAACTGCATGACTATTGATAAAAAATCCTGGGGATACCGCAGAAACGCTGTTTTATCCGAATATTATACATTAGCGGGATTAGTGAAGGAGTTAGTAATTACTGTAAGCTGCGGTGGAAATTTACTGATGAACGTTGGACCAACAAAAGATGGCATCATTACACCAATATTTGAAGAAAGATTACGAGGAATGGGTATACGTCTTTTATATCTTATCATTTTTTTTATTAGTATCTTAGTTAATTCAGATATCAATTTTTTAATAATCTCAATGATACACAAGTAAATTTATCGTTTCAGGTGCCTGGCTAGCAGTTAATGGCGAAGCTATTTATAATACTAAGCCTTGGACAGTACAAAATGATACCTTAACAGGAAGTGTCTGGTACACATTAGGCAAAAATGAAAAACAGTTGTATGCCTCAATTTTAGAATGGCCAGATAATAATATCTTATTGTTAGGCTCGCTCAAACTTTCGAAGAGTTCTCAGATATATCTACTTGGTTATTCATCAATAATTCCCGTAAGTGTGTTGCTACTTTTATTTAAGTATATGTTATGAAAATGATAGTAAATAGTAAACGACAATAACTTTGAATATTCATTCCAGTGGAAACAATCCGATAATAAGCTAGTAATAAGTTTACCATTTAACGCACACAAAGGTGAACCAGCTTGGGTACTAAGGATTGGAGCTCTTTAAAATGTTACATATTATTTACTAAGAATATATTTTATATTGTACATTATTTTTAGAAATCTGTACGAATCTTAGAAAACATTTTTATAGAATTTTTGTAAAGTTTTTAAAAAAGGCATATACAATATTGTAAAATGCAAAATTTGTAAATGCAAAATTTTGTATATATCTTAACTAAAGTTGTATAACGCTTTAAAGTAAATTAGTGATAAAAAAAATTCCAAGCACCTTAAACTCAAGATAAGCAATTGCCAACAGCAAAATATTACACCTGAGCTACTTCGTATAGATAAGCTGCAAGGAGTTTCGTCTGGAAACAATGAGAAAATAAATTATTTAATATATTTATTATAATGAAGTCAGTAAATGTTTAGACGACTGCTAATTTCAATAGTTATACTTACCCCTTGGATGTAGTTATGTACATTTAGTTTTTCATTTTGAGAATGTGCACCATCATCACCTTGACCGACTGGTAAAAGCAATACATTTTTACCAGTAACTTCCTGGAAGGTCAAAGTAACTGGTATCGATCCACCTTCGCGAGAGAGATCAGGTTCTACATTGTAAACATGTTGAGTAGCTTTTCGACCAGCTACGTAATTCGGATGATCGGGATTCTCGGACCACGGTTTGCCACCGTGGAACAGGCTCACGTTCATAATATTTGGACTATCTCTCTCTTGCCATTTCTTATTTATATACTTGAACACCTTGTCACTCGTCTCATCTGGAGTCATGTCAGGTACTATTCTAATCGAAAATTTGCCAGTAACTTTACTCGGAATTACTGTTTTCGCTCCTGTTTCACTGAAAGCACCCTCTATTCCATGAATAGACAAACTAGGTTGCCTCCAACGATGCATTAAAAGTAAAGTCTGTAAAAATTGACATAAATAGAGACATATATTTAATGTTGATTTCAGAATTTTTATAGTAGAAAAGAGAAACTATATATATGCACATACTTTATCTTCCTTGTGCGCTAGTTGTTTAGTTCCAACTGTTTCCCTAAATTCATGTACATCAAAATCTATATCCTTATAACTGTCTAATTCAGCTTTTGTCAATTCTGCGACATTATCATAAATGTCATCTATCAAGATATGACCTTTAACATCGACCAGAGTATTCATTAAGTAAATCAAATCTGCCATAGCTTCGTATACACATCCACCAAAGGTACCGCTATGCAAGTCCTTCGTAGCGCAAGTGACTTCTATTAGGTAATAGCAGATACCTCGTAGACCATAAGTGACACATGGTTTTTTGGTGCCCAGCCAATAATTGTCGGATATGCAGATATAATCTATGTTCTTTAAAAAGCTATCTTTCTTTTCCCAAAGAAGTTCATCCAAACCTTCACTGCCACTTTCTTCCATTCCTTCAAAGACAAACTATGCAAAAATTCCAAAGGTAAGTTAAGATGAATGTATTATACAATAAATATTGATCGACAATACCAAGTTAAGTATTCTTAATTTCGTGAGAAAATACCTTGAGATTGACAGGAATCTTGATTCCAGTTGTTTTATAAGCTTGCAATGCATGTATCCAACAAAGAACTGGTCCTTTGTCATCTGTACTGCCTCGACCATAGAGTTTTCCATCCTTTTCGGTAAGAGTAAACGGCTCAGTATCCCAGCCATCCTTCATTAACGCGGGCTGTACATCCAAATGTCCATATAAAAGTACGGTTTTTTTCTTCGGATCTGAGCCAAGACTTCCAAGTAACACAGGAGGAAGTGGGATTTCACTGCCATCAGGAAGAGTCTGTTTTCCTACATCAACCAATTCTGTAGTTGCTCCAAGAGCCTCCAATCTCGCTTCTGTCCATTTCATCATTCTAATCACTTCGTCTCTGTGGTCCGGCCATGCTGACACAGACTTAATAGCTACTGCCTCTTTCAAGTTATTTATATATTGCTCTTTTTGTTCATCTATGTATCTATAAGTGTGAAAGAGTGAAAAATAAACGGTAATTATAAATAAAATGTACACACAAACATGTATATACATTGAATCTCAAAAATTTCTTCGGATACATTTGCTTTTATAAAATTGGAAATATTTTAAAGAATAAAACGAAACGTACTTAAACAAAGCTATCAACGGTGTTGGTAACGCCATGGTAATAATTCCGTTCAAACGCAGACTTGGACACAATACAAACTGGAACTAACGCGACTGCCAACAATATCCGTGACCAGGACCAAGCACAATTGATACATCAATGGTCCAGGACAGCTGCTCTTATCGTGGAATCCTCCCTCTCCTTCTCTCGCTTCCTCTCTCGCTCCCTCCTCTCTTTCTCCCCTCCCTCTCACCACTCCTCCTTCCTCTTTCTTTCTTTTTTTCTCTAGAAGTACTTCTTGCAAAATCAACAATAACACAAGTCACATAACATTTCTCTGACACGAATGTATAAGACATATCAGCACACAGCGAAATCTAAACGTTCATGATTCGAATGTGATCAATCAGAATATTTTACACAGAAACTCATAAAAACGTAATATTGCAGCGTATCTTGCATTTTACGTTGTAATTTTTTTTAAACGGTCAAAAATTATGGTTAATTATTTTTCAGCATTATCTGTCCAATATTTATGTCAAATAAACATGTACGTATTATCTCTATTGTCATGTGACCATGAAATATAGAACACATTGGCGTAGAACGTCCATATACATATTTTTAACTTTACTTTTCTCGTGTAACTCTTTCTGTTTGACGTATTGTACATATTAATGTATTTTGGTCCATATGTAATATTTCATAGATAAAACGTTTCGTTTAATCGTATAAGAAGAATAAAAAAGAAAGTAGACATCAAAGTGAAATAATTGTAACGTACGTTATTCTGCTTCGAAAATGAAAAATGCAACCATTGTAATATTGTAATTACATTGATAATTATCGTTACTAGTAGTATATTTTACATAAAACGTACGTTGTTTTTAAATATTTTTATGCGTATATGTATCACTTAGCTATATATATCTAAACACAAGTATACATTTGAATATATTTTCATATAATTATTGAAATAATGTGTTGTTTCTTCAATTTATTTTTCAAGTTAATAGATTAAGGTATAAAGGTGCATTTTAAAATAAATTCTCATACCACATCTTATAAGATTGGTATTTATAGTTAATCGATTATAGAGGAAAGCCCCTTATTTTGAAATAGGCGCCTAATATGAGATAGCAGCGTTTCCGTTAAAACTGATAGACACTATCTATTGATTTCACCACGAATTTATTGCTCTTGGATTGAAAACTATTTAATGAAAAATTTATTATTAGATCATGTCTGTAGTCGTTATAAAAAAGGTTTTAGAATTTGGATGTCTTTAAGTTTCATTGAGATGAACCTTAAAATCTTGTTTATATAATCTTAAGATTTTATCCAAAATGAATTACATTTTAAAATTGATTCTCTTAATATAATAAGACATTATACTATATAATCATTTCATTGATTATATGTGGGGTATGAGAATTTATTTTAAAATGCAATTCATTTTGGATGAAATCTTAAGATTGTAGACGTAAGAATAAACTTAAAACGCTCTTAATCAAGTCACAAATTATTTCGTTATTAGGCTTTTCGTATCTTATACGTTATTATAGCATTTCTCCGTCAAAGGACAGATCTATCCCTTATCGATTTGGATGGGCTTTGGAATATGTTATAAAATAAAAAATATTAGATCTATATTTTTTTATCTTTTTATCTCAAGGCTAGAGGTCGAAACAACCCCTTGACAATAACATTTTTTCATTTACAGCGAATATTTTTGAAATTATGAGATATATATGAAAAAATGTTTTATACAAAAGTTTAAAAGTAAATTTTAAGTAATAAGTTTATAAAATTTAAGTAGTAAGTAAAAGTTTAGATTTTTTAAAGTTTAAGTATACTCTTAATAACGTATTCACATTTTTCGAAAATGTAAATGAAAAAAATCCATTATTTTCGAGAGATTGTTTCGACTCTTAAATTTCGAGATAAGCAGATAAAAAAATATAAATCTAATATTTTTTGCAACATATTCAAAGCCTATCAAAATGGATAAGATACAGGACGCCTCCCTTGTGAGTACATTCACCCGAAACTATCCTTGCAGTACGCATGTCGCGTATACGTCAAAAGGCGACTATCCATCGATATATAGATTTTATTGTCGACACAGTTTGACTTCAACCGTGGTGTACTCCAACTTGTCCTTTGCAGTCAAACTCTACTTTTCATCTCTTCTCTCTTTCTTCCGAATATCTAATCCCATATATCTGTTTCTTTTTAAATCAGAATATACGCATAACGCAGTACAGGGGATGCATGCATCAGCATGTATTGCGCTGTCGAGCTCTTCACGCGCAAGCGCAATTTGCCGAGAAATGTCAAACAGACCAATTCTTTTCTTTCTTTCTTTCTCCCTCCTACTGTGCGTTAGATAATCATTTTCGTCGAATGAAACGCATCTCAAGCATGACGCCGAGCGTGACGCCGGCCAAGGAGAATACGCTGCGTGATCGTGCTTGTTGATGCGATTTGCTATCTCTCGTGAATCCTCCACCGTGTTTGTGGCGTCACATCGTGATTTCCATGAGATTAACTCACAAACGACAGAATGCCAATAGACATACTCATGGCTTCACCGGCCCGTTGCTCCATAACGAGATACCTGGCAGCACGTTGCTCCTCCACAAATCGTAACTCCATGCGTTGAGTCATATTCCATTGGCATTATTAAGCAAACATCGACCGAATGCTCATTCGTTACGACGCTCACACATCAATTGTCAACGAAGTAGAAACTCCAACGAAGATAGAAGTGTAATTATAATGCCTGTGTGCAATTCCGGAAGTTGTTGAGTCCTAGATAAATTAGGTATGTAAAGGGAGAATGTATGTATCCGACTCTCTAGTTATTCATTTTATTATTTTTAACTTATATAACAATTTGTTTCTAAGAACATACTTTTAACAGTTAGATAGACGAAGTTGAAGTAATAAATTTCTATTCTATTCATTTAGATAAACGATAAGAACTGAGCGCAGAGATGGTACGCGTGATAACGGTACACAATTTCCTAGGGCAGAATGTTGCCCAAATCGAGGAGCCCACTGCGACGTGCACAGCAATCAGCCAGGGACAGGAGATGCTCCTACTGGCATTGCCCACACATTGCGTGGAGGTATGGGAGCTGATGAATTCGGACGTTAAACTGCGTACTGTTTTCCCCACAGTGGATATGATCAATCAAATGGTACATTGCACTAAGGGAGATTATGTCGTGACGCTGGAATCAAAATATCTCAGAGATACTGCGAGCAATAATCATGCAAATAGAGCTACTTCTAATTTTGTAAGGATTTATGTAAATTGGGCTATAGCGAAGGATCAGAGTCAGCCAATGCGAGCCAGGATTGCCGGTCGAGTCACGCCGAGTTTAAATCGACCCTTGAACAGCTTAGAAATGATTGAGTTACCTCTGAGCGTGCAGCCTACATTGATTGCTTGTTGCCAGTGCACTGGAAACTTACTCATAGCCTCGGGAAACAGTGCCATTCTGCACGAGTTCAAAATTGAGACGCAACAAGTATCAAAGATAAAGTTTATAGATTTCGAGCCTAGACCATGGTCATTAGGATTCACATTCATACCTACGCGCATGGAAATCATAGAGGATTTTATAACAATCATGGATAATACAACTTTATCCGTTTTTCGTCTTACAAACTCAATGTATGAAGATATTGACCAACTTAGCTCTTTAACTTCCACTTCTTCTTCCGTCGACAAAACATCCATATCCACAGATTCATCTCTTGTAGAAAATAGCAGTAGTCTTGGAAATGACGATTCGTTACTGCAGGGAACAAATATAAAGCACAAAACTATAGATCAAGATTGTCAATATGTGACACCTGAAAATAATGAGACAGTAACATCCAATGTAAAATCTAAGGATAAAAAACACAAGGGCACAAAAGGAAGTACATGGTATAAGTCAGAAACAGGCGATTTCAACAAAACAAAGGCAAGTAATAATAAGAATTACATAGATTGGGAACACCTAATATACAATGAGAAAGATGAGATGCAAAGGCTAATTACGCAAGGAATTATCGATCCCTCTTCACAGCAATTGACGGTGAATCTGCCATTGATAAGTTTAGAAAGAGCTGATCCAGGTCATGCTTTCAGTCCTTTTATATTAAATCCAGCGGACATAAGAATTTTTATCAAAACAACCTCACCTGATGTAGGATGGTCTGAAAATTATATGATAAAAAATTTATTATGTCTAAAAATCAATGTTGGAAATAATAATGCCAAGGTAAATGGAATTCTAGAAATCTTCAAATGCATGGTGTTGAAGCCGTTGTACATGAAGAAGGAATGTAACATCACTGGTGTGAAGAAATCTATGTTACGATCTGACAAGTACAGATACTTGCAAGGTGTAAGTTGCTTCGTTTGTACTACGCAGGAAGGATATCTATATCACTTCGCCGCGGCAAGCAGCAGTTCTGTGGATACGACGTGCCTGACCACTTATCCATTCACTGCACCTGTTCATCATGTGACGCTGGAGCACACAGTACTTCATGCATTGACCGAGGCTGGTCTCGAGTCCTACACATTGCGTCTTTCTCATCATATCGCGAAATTGTCAAATAGTACAGATGGTATGAGAGCGACTTGTCCCAGTATCATCGAACCGATAAGTCTGATTGGTTTAAGACCATTCATAGGAATACAGAAATTATTGCATACGAGAAGTTATATAATTCTGCTGGCTAAAGCCGACAATTCATGGACCATGTACTCTTTGAACTTACCTAAATTTGAGAACGTATATTTCGATATATTGAATGCAGCAAAGAATCACAAATCCTCTAGTCCAAGCACTTATCGACATTTGCTGGGAGAAGCACACGCTTTGATACGCTTAGCAAAGGATGTTTTCTACAATGTGAATAACGAGGAATCCGACGATACGACACACAAGAACGATCTCAAGTTAAAAAATCTTTACAATCAATCGTGCGCGTTGCTCGCGGATTACTATATACGATCGGAGAATGAATCGGATTGGGATTTATGTATTTCTTACTACAAAATGTCTGGGTTAAAGCCTTCGGAAGTATTATCCAGGAAATGCTGTCAGGACGCACCAGGACTCTTGACATTCTTAACGGATGCGCTTCTCACAATGAAAAGCGGATCCGAGGCGGACGCGCTTTTCCAAGGTCAAAATATAATAGAAATCATCTGTAAACTGGAGAAAGAGGATTTGTTGAAATTGATCTTCGGCAGTTCTGTACTAAGGGAGTACGCTACCGAGAAATTGATAAATCTTCTGCTAACACATGAAACCAGCGATATTGTTCAACTCGCCTTGGCGCTCTTATATATCCAAGCAGACAAACAAGAACAAGCGGAGAAGGTGCTGGAACCAGTTTCAGTGCGATGTATCAAGCAGATTGTTTTAGAACGCTGGGAACTGCTATTCGATGTAGCCGCAATAAAAAAGAGGAGACCCATGATTGTTACTTTCTCAGATTTTGCTAGTACCTTGATGCTCATAAAGAATACTACTTTCGCCGACATTCTGATACAGATAATAGAAGAAGAAGGTACGTTGTCATTGCATCAAATCATACAGGTGTTCCTGGAGTATTTGCCATCGCGAGTTGGAAGAGACGGGCACAACGCAGCCGCCACCTTGCAAGTTTTTCTCGAGAAGTATTTACATAATTATTTCAGTTCGAAATTCATGATGGAATGGCCAACTGTAAATAAAAATCAGATACGATCAGACTTTGCTCTCATTGAGGCATTCAAACTATTAGTGCGATCATATTTAGGCAAATTAACTCAAACAAAAGTATATAAAACGGATCCTAAAGAGGATCGGGAAGAAAATGATAAAGAATACTTCATGTTCGCAAAATATCGACAGAGTTATTTGAACAAAATGCCACCGTACGCCAAAGATTACCAAAAAATTTTAAGCATGAACGATTTTAAGGCTATAACGAATTTTAACAACGCATCTGAAAACGAAAAGACTATACCTAAGGAATTGTTTAAGTTGCAATCCGTATTGTCATGCGAATTTCTACCGATTGAATGTTTGCACGAGGTCAAGCAGTTTCTCGAAACGCAAAATATTGACGGAAATTTATCTCTCAAAACATTATGCATCCAAAATACGGAAGAAGTAACGATAATTCTAATGAATAGCTGTCCACAAGCTGTAGTACAATATGCGAAGGTATTTTTAACATACAGTAACATGAGATATCGAATTTTTATCTAAACATTTTGCTATAAGGTAACTTAATGCCTTTTTACCATGTTTCAGGATAAATATACGAAAGATACTGAATGGAAGTTTCTTATTGAATTAACGCGGGACAAAATTGCCACTTCAACGACGGAACAGGAGCTACAACTCTTGTATACACAAATTATGAAAGGTAAGTCGAACATAATATAAACAAAACAATACTCTGTACAGAATATGCAATAGATAGTATATAATACGAATATTTTTTCTGAATTTATAGAAATCCTGAATTATTTGCCGCATGCATTGCCTATGAAAAGTCTACATCGCATATTGCCGAGAGATGACATGGCAGCATTTCAAAGATGCACTGAAATGTGTAATCAAATTATGCATGCGGATCATGTAAAATCGTTGATAATGGAAACCGGACAACAACTTTTGACAACTCTAAAGTTGTGAACATAGGGTTCCATTAAATATCATTTATTAGCTAATTTCTAGACAAGGAAGTGATAATACTAAGGAATTACGAATATAAATTCCGATATATCACGTTTTAACAATGATATTGCGGAAGATTACTTTGTGTGCACTTATACTCGCAGATTAACCATTTCTACAAACATTTCACATATGTTCCTGATTAATACAGTCATGTAAACTGATGTTCGTTAGTTAATAGTTGTGCCGATGCACGCATTTTTAACAATTAGTAACTTTCATCAATTATTAAATGAAATTCGAAGAGATATTATAAATAGAATTCATCTATAATTAACTGTTGAATCGTTCTATATAGATATATTATATTATAACTAAAAATGTAAAATCTGTCCCAGAGCGAAGGTGATGTAATACTTAATACATAAAGCTTTATGTAAAATAACGAATGTATACGAAAATTAGAAATTTGGAGTGCATTATATTCATACAAAAATATTTATAATTAATTCATGACTGTGTTTACAAATAATTATAGAAATATTTGAATGCTCTATATGGATCGTACCAAGATTTTTCAGAGTTAATTATCAATCGAATTCGTTCTGCTCTGGAACAGAAGGTATGTCTTTAGTGAAATGAATTTTACTAAAATAGTTTTTATCAAATCTGTTGATACTAACGAGTAGTTTTACGTAATCAATTTTTGAGTGTTACAAAACATGTAACTTTGATGTGCCTTTAGCAATGATTTCTCTTTATTATAAATCTAATTATGTTAGAATGATTAATATTTATAATTCACCATAAAAAATAAATACATAATAACCTCTCACAATTGCTTTTTTATCTTATCCATGATTTTTATTCCTGACAAAGTAATCAATAATCACTATTAGAATTAATAAAAGAAAGAAATATAAAAAGTTATAAATAATTTAAATCAGACTCTCAATCTTTAAAATAAAAAATAACAGTAAAATTAAGGCTAATTCTTGAGAGAGAGTAATCCAAGAATTCGTAATAAAGCTGACATTTATTATGAACTACTATATATGAATTAATATTTGTGCGCATCCATTTCCGCGCTGATTCTCATCAGTCTTAATTTTACTATTATTTTTTATTTTTAAAAAATATAAAATTCTACATTCTTTATTAACGTTGTAATAATAATTCATAAAATATAGTTTCAGTATGTACACTCATGGACTAAAAGCATCCAACACTTTCTTTTCGATGGGTTTCAGAATGCAGCCTATTCATCACTTGACCCATAAGAATCAATCACTTGGTGAGGCTGCATTTCGAAATTAATCCATTAAATAAGAAGTGTTGCAACTTTTCAGTCCATGAGTGTACATAACATTTAAATAACAATTTTACATAAGTGACAAAATCAAGAGTTTAAAATTAGATTTTAAAATTGGAATAGAATAGCAAGATTTAAATTTGAGCAATTGGAATATCTTCAATAAAAGTCAATTTAAAATATACACTTACACTTACTTTTTATAAAAAACAAAAATAGATATTAGAAATGTAAGATATTGATAAGTCAGCTAGTATAATAGATTACCCTGAAATATTATTCAATTGTTATTCATAATCATAAATCGTATTTGACGGCAACAATAAATGAATTATTTGTCCCAGTTTTATATTTCTTATATGTATATACAGAATATCAAAGTTAAAGAGAGCCAGTACATATAAAAATGCAATAACTCAACAATATCTTAAATGTCATCTATTTGTATGTACATTTTTGTGTTTAATTAGAATATCTTAGAACTTAGTTAATGCTAGAGTATATCGAAGACATTCTATTATTTGTTGATTATCTATGGAATTCCAAATGTATTCCTAAATAGTCCATATGAACCATTATAAACCCTGATAGCATACATTTGCGCCCATTTACATTATTCCAAATTCCTTGTTTAGTCTTGGTAAATCTCTAGAAGAATATACGGGTATTTTAAATAGAATAACTGTTATAAAGCGTTTTTATATTAGCTATAAAATATTGTGTAAAATAGTATTGAAAGAAAAATATAAATAATCGCTCATATTTACATGCAAAGCAAAATTGAACAAAGAATTCTTTTCTGTAAAATGTTACCTGTTTTCTACGGCTTCCATCAAATCATATTTACGCATCAATGATATAACTAATCTTAACGTTGACCATATTGTATTCGACATTGCTTTAGGAGGTATACTATTAGCTTGTGGACCTCTTCCAGCAGCTTGTTGATTTAATGCTGTCAAAAGATGCTCACCTGCTTCCCTTTAACATAATATGTAGTCTTAATATAATAATTTCATTGATATATTATTATTTTTTGTAACTTGAGAATTATGTCTATATTTACTGATACGCTGCAAGATTAACACAAGATATGCCGAGATTGTAACGTGCTCTAATAAATCCAGGTGATAATTCTAAGGCACGATGGTACGCGTTTACAGCTTCTTCTGATCGTTGACCATTAGCTAGGGTAGCTCCCAATCTATTCCACAATCTGGAATCCTTTCGGGAATATACATTTAAATATGCATATTAGTTTCATTTATCACAACAGAAATAAATTTTACTTACATCAGGACGCACATGCAACGCTGTTTGGAAACAATCCACAGCTTTGTTGTAATCATTCGATAAATTAAACAATATACCTAATCCACACTGTACGTCCGCATCAATTTCATCTCGAGGATTCATTCTCGCGGCTTCAATATATAGATCTTTGACTTCATCATATATTTTGCTACAATGAAATAAAATGTAAAAAAATTTTTTAATATTAAAATGACTTTTGACTTACTCATATAATAAGGTAGACACACTGAAATTCGGATGTTCATCTTTTTTAACATTAGATTCTGAACCGGCAAGATGTTTGTATTTTTCATTCTTTAGTAACCATTCCTTTAGTGTTAGACAGGCTTGCTTTTGATAAGACTCGTTTGCATAAGCAGCTGCTAATGTCATGAGAGCAACACTGTTCGATGGATCCAAACATAGACAACGATTTAAAGCAGAGATGGCCAAAGGATCCTGCTCATTCTCAGCTTGTGTCTTGCCAAGGAGTAGCCAAGCTTCAACGTTATTTTCATCCTGTTGGGCTGCAGCTTCAAAACATAGTACAGCACTTGGTAAATCACCCGCCTCTAGTCGTCTCTTGCCTTCTGCCAAAGTATTTGGCAAATCTTTCATAGGATTTGTCTCAGAGAAATCATATTCCTTATTAAATGGATCATAATATGTGTCGAATTCAGATACCCACGGATGCGTATAGGAGTTTCCATCTGTAGAGATCTTATCCCATTCTTCTTGAAATCGCTTCCACAATGACTCCATATTGTCTGCTAAAATGTTAATTATTCTTATACTAACAGAGTCATTGTAACTAAAGACACACATGTTTAGTTTCAAAAAAAGAAATTAAAATATTACCTGCAACAGGATTTTCCTTTACAAATTCGTCTATCCATGTACCCGCAAATTCTAATTCTTCTTCTACTTTATTCAAAACTGTATTGTCATTGAGATTAGCTGCATCATTTTCTATAAATTGTTCTATCCATTCCTCGCTTGTACCATTCAAGTTGATTGCTGTTTGATTGCTTTCTATAGGAATATCACCTTCTCGTTCCATAAATTTCATAAACCTTGAATATGCCAAGTTTGGTTCTTCATCTTCGTTAATTTGAGCAATATCATTTTTATTAATAATGTCCTGTACAACATCCGTCTTATATTCCAGAAAATCTTCTGCCCATTTTGGATCTAGACCAAATTCATTTATCTCGTAATTCGTGCCTTCATCTTGAACGGGTAAAATAGATGTATTCCATATATCGTCTGTATGAAGTTCCTATAATTCACTTGCAATAATTATCTTGTAATGCTAGAAATAAGTACAATTTTATAGAGACAAATAAAATAAAATTACATTTAGAGATTTAGTTGCAAGATAAGGATTTCCCCAAGCATTCAAATCATTCTGTAATTCCATTACGCACTCAAGTCCAATTTCTGAATGAATATTCTGATCGATTTTCCTTAGTTTCTGTAATAGATTAATCATTCGAAACATTTGCAGGCAATCAGATTTCTCCAAGAATTGTAGGATAATTAATTTGCAATAATGAAATATTTTACAATGCTAGAAATAAGTAGAATTGTATAGAAATAAATTTAATAAAATTACGTCTAGAGATTCAGATGTAAGGTGAGGTCCCCGAGCTTTGTCCAAGTCATTCGTTAATTCCCTTAAGATCTCAGGTCCAGTTTTTGGAGGATGAATACTCTGATCTATTTCCCTCATTTCCTGTAATAGATTATTCATTCAAAACATCTGCAGGCAATCAGATTTCTCCAAGAATTATAGGATAATTAATTTGCAATAATGAAATATTTTACAATGCTAGAAATAAGTAGAATTGTATAGAAATAAATTTAATAAAATTACGTCTAGAGATTTAGATGTAAAGTAAGGTCCCATAGCTCTGTCCAAGTCATTCTTTAATTCCCTTATGATCTCAGGTCCAGTTTTTGGGGGATGAATACTCTGATCTATTTCCCTCATTTCCTGTAACAGATTATCCATTCGAAACGTCTGTGGGCAGGCAGGTTCCTCTAAGAATTGTTGGACCAATTGATCTGCGTCCGGTGTTTGGAAAGCTTCCGACGAACTAAACGGCCGATGAATTCCTTCTTCCTTGAAGCCATGATCTCGCACATAATGCGATGCTAGACGTATCAGGGAGCTAGAACCTCCACAGTCTCCTTCCACTAATTCACGAAATGCCATCGTTTTATATTGTTATTGGATTCCTGTATTGGAAAAAATTGCTATTTTATTTTCTTATATACTTTTATATAGATATCTGTTATATTATCTACATTAAATATTAAGTATATATATGTATATATATATATGTTTGTTCAACAGTAGACACTTGAGCCTACTCTACAATGTGCTTGTTGCTTTTTATCTCTTGTCACATTCTCTCTTTACAACAGTTTCAATGACAATCATATTTCTTATTACATCATTTCTTGTCTCTTTCGAAATTCGCTTTTATCTTGGACAATAGAAAACGAAGAAACAGAATAAAAGGCAAAAAGGCAAAAGATAAAAAGTAGTAAAACGCAAGAAACATTGGACACATGAAACGTAGTGTTTTATCTAGTGAATCAAAGAGATAAATATTTTATGTGCACAAAATTTAATGCAAAGTCATAGAAAGATGTAAACAGAAGTCAATATATCATAAGTACAAAACATAGATGGGCAATCGCAAAGGTTTTAATCCCGTGTTATGTGGAACAAATCGTTCAAAGACAAGAAGGACAAGAAGACAGCCGTGATTGAGCGCTCAGTGTCCGAAGTTGGCGCACGATCGTCAAAAAAGCAATGCTCATCGCGTGAAGTTTGACGTTAGTCAGCCAATTCTGTCGGTGCCGTCTTGCTCGCAAATCGCGTAGGAACAACGATCAACGGGATCACCTCGATATTTCCTCGTCGCTTTCGTCCGTTCCGTTCTTGTTGTGACACTCTGCGTTACCGTGACGTTCTCTTTTAGGACATTACAGAACAGCAAGATTTCGGCGATCGAGACTTTGTACCGGAACAAGTGGAGAAGGGGAAAAGTATGAAGAGTGAGGGCTAGACTCTCGCCGCGATCGAACGCGCGCAGTAGATCGGTGAGTAGGAGAGAGAGAGAGAGAGAGAGAAAGAAAGAGAAATGTAAAGCCACCGGAGGAGAGAGAGAGAGAGAGAGAGAGAGAGAGAGAGAAACTTGAATAAAACGGAAAACATACATCTCTCCCTTTTCCGATAGGACGCTAATTAGAAAAATATATTAATCTGCTTTAATAACGAACTCGGGAGCTATACGTTATTTATTTCATCCGTTATTTCCATAATTTTTCTGCGCTTTCTGCACTTCGAGAAGTGCACCCGCGGCGCGGCGAGTGACGAAGTGACGATCGGAGCTGCCGGACGCTGATTGGCTCGCTGCTTCGGCCATGTTTGATTCCTTCGATTATCGAAATTTTGAACTGCGATATTGCGATTCTCGAACTTGTTATTCGGTTGCGGGACGCGTCGGAAGCGGGAGGACAGTTTCGTATTTCTCGTGGTAATTAATGCCCGAAAAAGGGCTCGTGGACGCGGAAAGTGATCGCGAGTGTCTTGTAAAACGTCGTTCGATCGTCGTGACGTATAAAACATTGATTGCGATTGCGCGTGTGCTAATAATACTAATGGCGAGGATCTCGGAGTCGCAGTTTCTGGTGGACTGGGAATCTGGATTATTCTCTACACATTATTCTCGTCAATTTCTCGACCAGGTGCATCTACAGCACGATGAAAGCTTAGCTATTACCAGGTACATATATATGATCTATAAAATTGGATGTGTTGTCGATGATTGTCGTCCATGTACGTTTTTGACGAATTGTGTTGGCGCGCTAAAAATTCATATCAAAGGCCTATTCTTTTTAGCTGACTTTTGCGCTAGTTTATCTTTCTTCTTCTTCTTTTCTCCTGGAGAGAAAAAGAAGAGAGCTGAACTGGTGCAAAAGTTTAGCTAAAAAGAACAGGCTTCATGGCTGCGTTCGTTTGACTGCTCACGCGCTATCAGCTTCATTTTATGATCTTTTTTCCATATGTACGCGATAAACGATAAAGATAGAATTAATAACGAATTCGGTTACTTGCTCCACACTAGATTAATGCATACTAAAAGTTAAATTGTTGTACATGAAATTAGCAAAGTTAAATGTAAAAATATATAAATATTTTTAACGAGAGATTAACTATCTATTAATGATATTATCACGTTATTTAACAAAATATACATGTATCATTTTATTAATTGTCGAAGTTGATTATATTGTATCACTGCATTGAGATATTTTATACAAAACAACCTTTAATAAATAATATGCACTGATCCAGTGTAATGCGAGTGATTGAATTCACCAAAATTTTAAAATGTGTGATCAAACCGAACGTAAGTATGCCAACACTCTTGCGACCAGTACGGTGAAAAGTAGGATCTATCGAGTCAAAGCTGGTCAAAGCAAATGTAGATGGTAACTGGGAAATATATGGTTACCTATCGAGGATATGTCGGTAAATATTAATCGTCGGTAAATATGGAACATTAATGGTAAAGATCTTTATCATTATTCGAGTAGTAGTTTGAAACGCACGTCATATAAAGATATTCACACAAATTATGGTATATTATGTTTTATATTATATATTATATGTATAAATATTTTTATACGTTATTACTTTTTATTATTTTCCATTAAAATTAAAATTTGTATTTTGTTTGAGAAGAAATTTGAATTGATTACTTGGAAAAAAATGTTATATACATAATTTTATATAAAATATTTTTTCCCGGGTAGATAATGAGAAATAATATTTTTTGGAAAATTGAATTAAAAGTTGACAATCGTGTTAGGGGGATCCTAAAGCCGTCTGTATTACCGATTAAATCGTAATTTTCGTATAACAAATACTTTTTTTCTTTTTTACAGATTCGAAAATCCTTTTCCAGGATTAAAGTATACACATTTACACGTATTTGTGAGGTGGAATTTATGCCGAGAACGATAAAAAATTTCGAAATTAAAATCTTAAGACAAATTTTTTATCATTCTCGACATAAATTCCACCTCACAAATACGTATAAATGTGTAAAGTTTAATCCTGGAAAAGGATTTTCAAATCTGTGAAAGAGAAAAAAGTATCTGTTATATAAAAATTACGATTTAGTAATACAGACGGCTTTAGAATCCCTTTAAATGTATGATGATTGTGCGATTACTGGCATAACAGATATAATTAATAGTAATTTTTGTAATTAAAAGCAGATGTTGTCTGATATAAAGCAAAATCTTCTCAAAGGAAAAAATTGTTTTCCTTATTATCTAATAATATGAGTAAGCAAGTATTCTACAATTACTGAAATTAATAACTATGTATATTATCAGCACGCTTTTTGAAACTAATGGATTCATTCTAAGCAGAATCATAAGGCTCCTCGTAATTTGCTCTCGTAAGGTTTATAAAAACTTATGACCGATGTTCTAATTTTATGCGTATGTACCATGGTACATGCGCATGTACGATTATTCGTAAATATCTAACGACTTCTCGTAAATCTTACGAGAAATCTTAATTCTTACTAGCAAGAAGCTACCTACAAAGATATAAACACTTGTAAATTCTTGAATTTTAGAATTTAGGCATTATAAGTCTTTCATTATAATTTGATATATTAGATTTTATATTTTTGCATTCGCTAATCGTTATAATTACTTGTATTTATTGATATTTAAGAAAAATTTTATAATTTTGTAGATATATATACTCGTATATATATATAAAACTTTAAATCATGTCTAAAATTTATGCCATTCCAAAATAATGCAATCACTGTCAATAGAAGTATAATTATTTATAAAATATGTCAATTTTATATATAATTATATATAATTTTATACAATTATATATAATTGTATATGAAACATTTTTTCTCGGGGGTAGATGATGTTGTAAGATAGATGGTTGATTTCTTAAATTGCATGTAAGCAATGCATGTAAACATAAATTAATTAAAAATACACATCAGATCAACGTAGTAAACTGTTATATAATTGTGTATATGTGCTCTAACACTATATATTTATAAACATGCGAGAATAATTATTACATTCTAGTTATATAAAACTATCATGTCATTCTTTTTTTATGTACTTATCAGATAAGAATGTTATAAACGTTGACGTAATAAGTATATTTAGATTGTGTATTCTTACTGACAATAAGTTGTTATATAGTTTAGAAAGAGAGAGGTAGTTAGGTACATATTGCTCTCTCTCTTTCTCTCTCAAATATTAGTAATGGGGATAATCACACAAAAATTAATTAAATTGCTTTTTTTATTGCCTCCTTTATTGTGCTTCCCACTCAAAGCGAATTAAAGAGAGATACTGATAAGCTTTAATTGCGTTCTTTTTCTAACCGATTGCACATGCTAAGATCAATTAAGATAGGGGAATACGCAGTCTACACTTATTACGTTTATTAGAAAACTAGCATAATTTATATCGGAACATATTAATGATTACAATTTTTATGAAATGAAGCTGAAACCACACATTGTACATTTTATTTCATAACGTAATACCAAAAAAATTGATTACACTAATGATAGCATTTGGAAATTTTTCTCTTTTTTGAAGAGATGTTTCTGAATATAAAAAAATTTAATAATGTTGTAAACGCGATTAACATTTTTTATTCTTTCCGTACTCTCCTTGTTAGTTATTTCAGCGTTCTGTTTGTTGATACTTTGCAACGAAAGCCTCCCATTGTTCAGGTCTATTTTTTGTATACCAATCCTTTATTAAATTCATTATTTCCTTTTGTCTTTCGGTACATCTGTTACATTTAGATCGAAAAGCTTCCATAACAATCTCTGAAATCCAATAAAAAGATTCTTGACCAAATTCTTGACATGTCCGCCATATTAAAAAAGTCACTGTCAGATTGTTAAAAGGTCACAGTGATATCACATTATTATTTTGAGCTGCAGTATATGTCATATATAGCAGTATTACAGTGAGATCCAACTTTTATTATAGCTGTATAGTGATGTCATACACTGAAAAAATTTTGTTCATTTTTCGTCTAATGAATGATCGTTAATCAATGTCCGACTTAATGTCCGACTTAATATAATTAATTTATTGGTACAATAACTGGATTCATTTATACAACTATATATTCATTCTTGCAATGAATTCTAGTAATAGTTTCATAATCTAAATCATTATGAGAATTCATTGGACCAATTTCCATTATTTTTTCATAATTCAATGAATATTCTATTGTATTTACGTACAGTTTTGGTTCAGTGTAATGATATCATACCTAGCAAAATCTCAATATAGAACACTAGTCATTATGACATCAAAATGACATTAAAATAATAATTAAAAGTCATTTTTTCATTTACGATTTATTATAACATCAGTTTGATGTTAGGATAATTTGTTGTTCTGCTTGATTGGACATTCGCACGTCACTACTTCGTTGTAATATTACTGTAACTTTTTTTGCTATAGAGGTTTTAACCCTTACATTCCTTTACTCTCGCTCGTGTCCAAAAATTTTGCGTGTACACTGTCACGTACACCGGTAAAGTACGTGCTGCATGCGCATGTCGCCTCAATTGTTATTGTCATTTCACTTTTTAATCGTATACTAGAAGGTTGAAACTAAACGTTTGTTCGCGTCGCATGCTCCAATATGTTCCAAAATGCTCCTACTATAGCTCTTACTCACTCCAACATGCTTGATGGAGTGAGTAGGAGCTATAGTAGGAGCATGTTGGAGCTTGCGACGCGGACAAACCTTAAGTAAAATTACAATTGAGAACCATCTCATTACGGTGTAATTCTTTAATAGAATTGTAAACGAAGTGATCACAAAGAGTTAAAGAGTCTATGCCATTTATTTTTTATCGTGAAAATTTATTCGTTGAAATCTTATATATATATACCTTTAAAGAATTTTGCATCTGCCGTTACGCATGACGCCTTTTCCATAAAACAATTATAGTACTGATCTCGCAATCTATTATTTTGAAGGATATCTTCGGCGTTGACTTTGTCATACCGATCGGAGTACAATTCTTGCGCTAGAACGCAAATCAGTGTAATAACGATGATCGTGACGATGTAGTTTAATCGGACCATGGTTTCTTCTGTTTTCACGTAACGTGAGATACTGAACGATCGATCGAATGTGTATCTTATTTATGCATTTAGTACGAGATAAAAAATTGTTACGTGCACTGAAAAAAAAGATTGGCTGCTGCAGCAAATTAGATGGTAAAATATGGCATAGCATTTTTAATTGGTTGCAGCAGTTAATTTTTGGTTGTGTTAGTCTATCGGAATCCTATACTGACATTGCAGATAGGTTAACGCAACCAAAAATTGGCTGCTGTAGCCAATTAAAAATGCTATGCCATATTTTACCATCTAATTTGCTGCAGCAGCCAATCTTTTTTTCAATGTGTAAGATGATGAATACACGTGGTAATATAAACCGAATGTATCTGGTTATAAATAGAAAAATAAACTGTGATCATTTCAAAGTAATCCTTTCATTGATATACATTTGCATTTCGAATACATATGGCTAATTAGCAATGCAGTATGTATATGTTTTCATAAAGTTTCTACATAAAATTTTCCAAGCATTTGTAATTTTCATAAATGAACTAGTACAATAAATGAAATATAGCATAACATTTTTTCTAGTTACATAAATGAAATAATGTAATATTTCTCGGAGACAACTTTGCACTTATATTTTAATATAAAATAATACGCTGCAATAAAAAAATGTTATTTAGTGAACAAATATGCTCAAATTAAAACAAAACTTGATAGTAAGACAATTCTTGTTTAAATTATGTGTCTATGAAGTTCTAAATTGTATTTCGAAATAGTAAATAAATATATAATATCGGAAAATGATACATCTCAATGAATCTAAAATGGTAAAATTTTGAGTTTCAGATTTAACTATTGTAGAAACGAGAAATAACGCGTTACTTGTATCTCTGGATTCACTTCCGTAGGTTAAATATAAAACTCTGTATTTATTGACTTTTTACAAACTATGTAATTATATTACATTCGATCATAATTAATGAGTGATAAAAACTATACAGTGAAAAGTAAAAAATATAGACATTTAAATGAGGAAAAATTAGCAGACATAATTGAACAATTAATGCCCGTTTTCACCAATATATATGTATGTACCTAGATTAATTTCAATCTCGGTTTAACTTACTTTTCGTCTTTTTCTAATTATAAGAATTAGAAAAAATGACATGACACAAAAAATATGATACATGAATATTTTTATACATTGTTACATATTTTATATTTTACAAAATTAAGTTTTGTTTAATTTGAAAGAAATTTCGACTAATTAGATAAAAATAACGAGAAATAATATATTCAGTGCAAATGCAAAATCGAGTTAAAAATTGATAGTGACGTTAAATATATAATAACTGACGTTAATCATATAGTTGATGTACATAAATTAATATGATTTTCATAATTGAAAAAATTGATATTTTCTGATAATATAAATACTATAAAATCTCTTTTCTCAAAGGAAAAAATAACGTTTTCTTTTATTAGCAGTTATTAGTTCATTGATATTCAAGCTTTAATATAAGCAAGCAAGTATTCTTAAAATTATGGAAATTAATAATTAATTGCGCATGTTATCTGCACGTTCTTTGAAACTTAATCTTTTATGTATTAGTTTTAATATTAAATTTACTATATATTTCTGTATTAATATTAATTACTACTATTTATTGGCATCTTTATACAACAAAAAAATTTAATAATTTTATGCAGATATTAAAAACGTAAAAAACTATAAATTGTAAAATCTACATCCAAACTAATGTGCAGAAGGAGTTGAATATCTTTTATAACGAACAAACGCGGGAAAAAATGCATATATTATTTATTAATTAGATATTCTTGTACTCTAGCTCGAGTTTTAGACAGATGATCAATTTCTTTAAATTTAGCAATACACATAAATTAAATAACAGTACAAACAATCTAAATTATAAATATCAAATTAATATAATAAACTGTTATACACAGGATGGGCTTTAGCTATCTAATAATTTTCAAAATGAAACAGCAATACGATATATAAATAAACTTAAATATTAATTTCTTTTTATATAACAATAAGAAATAGAATATCATTTGAGTATATCTGATTGTGAGTATATTTAGTATGACTGATTGTGTGTGTGTGTGTGTGTGTGTGTGTTTGTGTGTGTGAGAGAGAGAGAGAGAGAGAGAGAGAGAGAGAGAGAGAGAAGAGAGAGAGTTTAGCAGAAAAAGCTGTTCAAGCGCTTAGTTATTCTTTATTACACTTAGCGCTTAGTTATTCTTTATTACAATAAGCGCTTAGTTATTCTTTATTAGTTTCTACACTTATTGTTAGAGCGAAGAACTAAAGACAAGAACCATATTAAAGAATCAGTCAGCGGTTCACATTCACATTTATTAAATAAAAATGTTGCAGACGTAATAGGTAGACCGAGCATTCCAATGAAATTGTCTGTGTTGGTTTAGAAAGAGAGAGGAAGCTTGGTGTGTATTGCTCTTTCTTTAAAATATCAGCGATGGGGATAATGATATACATAAGATTAAATAGCCCTTCAACATCACGTTCTCTTTCTAACGGAACAATAAATGTTAAAGTCAATTAAAATAGGCAGCACACAGCCTATATATATTACTTCTATAATTGCAAATAAATAACTTAATTTATATCGAAAAGATTAATAATTATGATTTTTACGAAAAAAATTGAATTTAAATGCACTTAATTATACATTTTATTTCATTACATAATATTGTAATACAAATACAAATTATATCAACAATTACAATAGGTATTTAAAAATTCCTATCTTTTTTAAAGAGGTGTTTCCAAATATACGTAGATCCAATACTTTTATAAATGATTAACATTTTCTATTCTTGCCGTGTTCTCTTTGTTGATTGTTTCAGCAATTATTTACCAGTGTTCTTTTTTTTTATATCTTCAACAGACTTTGCAACTAGAGCTTCCCATTGTTCAGGTTTATTCTGTACATACCAATTCTTCATCGTAAGCTGTAGTTCCTTTTGTTTTTGAGTACATTTCTTACATTTGGTTTGGAGAGATTCGCTAAAAATTCCTGAAATCAAATTGACATATTGGTTTTAATTCATAGTATGCATAAAATTCTCTTTTCTCTCTTCTTTCTCTATTTTTTCCTTTGTTATAATTAACAAATATATGTATATGTGAAATTTAAAAAAATTAAGTTTGAAGCAACAAAAATTTAATGAGCCGATATCTATGCAACTTTTACAAAAATAAAATTAAAAAAATAAGCCTTTTTCTTTATATTTTTAAGAAATTAGAAAATTTATCCAAAAATTAAACGTTACACTGATTGCTTCTAATGAAATAAAATGTAATATTTCATGTATGATAGGGGATGTCTACTTCTAAGGCTATATTCCAAAATTGACTGTCTGTACTGAAAATCTATAGTACCTACACATAACGTAAACTGTCGCATTTTCAGTGTTGGCAGTAAATTTGGAACACAGCCTAATTGCGTTCGAATTGCAATCTTTGCGCAATTTAATGTTAGATTTTAGAATAGAAAAAGTTCAAAATATGTTATTATTACAATTTTCGCAATTTTTTAGTTTTTTAATTATTTATTTTTTTGATTTTTTAATTTTTATATTTTAAGTTTCCCAAATGAAAAAATGTCCTCTTGAAATTAATTGAGAAATATTATTTATTTTAATACTTCTTTTGTTTATGCTTGTTGCCAGAAATTTCTTACTTATACAAGCATTAATTATTCTAAAACTACTGATACGTATAAATTGTTGACAACTTAATTGCTAATTGATTAAAGTCTGTCGTAAAAATTTATTCGTTGAAATACTCCGAGTATAAGTGTACCTTGAAAGAACTTTGCGTCTTCTGTCGGGCATGGCGCTTTTTCCAAAAAGCAATTGTAGTATTCATCTCGTAATTTATCGTTTTGAAGAATACTTATGGGGTCAATGTTGTCGTACTTATCGGAGTACAGCTCTTCCGCTAAAACGCACATCAGTGTTACACTAATGATCGTCACGACGTAGCTTAATCGAGCCATATCTTTTCTGTTACAATATTTTCACACTAACTCGTGAGAGAAACTGAATAGTTAATCAAATGTGTGTCTTATATACCTAGCACGAAATAAAAAATTTACACTTACAGATGATGAATGCCTTATAGTATAAGACAGCTTGTCTCGTTGCGTAATAGGAAAAAATCGAATGTGATAGTTACATATGTTTAAATTATTCTTTCAATCATATAGATATAAATTTAAATATATATTATATATGACTAATAGCAATGCATTACGCAAGTAATGTAAATAGTCTCATAAAATTTCCATTTTAAGTAATAATTTTCTGGTATTAATAATTCTCATAAATATAGTATAATTTTTTCGGTATACGATAAATTTATTTTTTATGTATATAGTATGTATATAGTATATAGTATGTTTATATATTTGAATATAAGATAACATGTTGCAATAAGAGATGTTATTTATTATGAGAGATGTTATACAATAACAAATATTTAGTAGCAATAGGACAATTCCTCTTCAAATCTTAAATTTATATATCTTAGCCTAAGGGTGGGATTACATTTATGCGTTTTGTCATACGACAAATTTTTCAAGCTTGATTAGCTATAGGATAGAGAGATTCAAGAACTTCTCTGTCCTGCAGTCGTACGACGCATGAAATATTGTATTAGCCTTAGACTAGCTCTCTCTCTCTCTCTCTCTCTCTCTCTCTCTCTCTCTCAAAAATTATTTAAATAATTTTCTTTTCTGTGTGAAATGTATATGTACAGTCAGCAACTACGAAGTTGCAACACTTTTTTTCAATGGGTTTCGAAATGCAGTCTGCTCATCGAAGAAGCTAGCACGACATTCTATATTAATATAAAAAAAATAATGACAGTTCCAGTAGCACTAAAAATTGGAAATTGTTGAAATTTTATTTTTAAAATGCATATATTAGTAGATTTTTAGTAGAACTATCGGGAACTGTTGCTAAAAGTGCTAATTTATCATTTTTTTGTACTTTAGAGACAAATTGTCGTGCTAGATCTACGAAGTTAATACGTCATATTTTTATATTTTTTGATTTTTTCATATAAAAAATGTGGAACTTTTTTTTATTTTTAGGTGGAACTGTAGAACTATGAAAAGTGCTACTACATGGAACTGTCATTATTTTTTTTTTATATTAATAGACTGTTGTGCAGCTTCACAGATCTGCTCACCGAGTGATTGGTTATTACTTATAGAGCCACAAATAAGAACCAATCGCTCGCTGAGTAGACTGCATTCCGAAACCTATTCAAAAAAGTGTTGCAACCTTTTAGTTGCTGATTGTACATCCAAACATTTTTAAATGTTATCTAAATTTAAATAATAGGTCAATTCTAAGCAGAATCATAAGACTCGTAATGTGTTCTCGTAAAACTTGTATATACGAGTATAAGAACTTATGATTAGTATTCTAATTTTATGCGTATATGTATCGTAAGACGTACGATTATTTATAAATATCTACGATTTCTTGTAAATTTTATGACTAGTAAGAAGCTGTCTGCAAAAATATTGTATAAAGGTATAAAGCACTTAAAAATTCTTACAAATCTTACAGGAATATGTTACGAGCCTTACGATTCTGCTTAGAATTTAGGCATAAAGAAGCAAGGATTAGATAAGTATGGCGTATCTTATATTAAGAAATTGAAAACTTAATTCTACTTTAGATTAAAAAAGAAACGTTTTTAGCATTTGTGACTATCGTTGTAAAATAATTATAATTAGGAGCTCCTTTTTTATAGTTATTATTACTATAATATTAGTAATAATAATTATATTTATAATTATAATTATATTTATGCGTATAGCAAAAAGATTATTCCCGAAATGACTATAATTTTATTTCTTACACAATCGAATGATGTAAAAGCCAATTTATGTATCACTTTTTGTACCACACGTACGCACTAAATTTTCATTCGGTTTCAATAAAAAATCTCCAGCCAGGAGGGTCAAATGTTATAATTTCTTTTTTTAAGAAAAACACTACTAAATGTAATAATTTTAATATAGTGCAATTGGTTTCGGATGGAACATTAGTGAAAAAAAGGTAACCGTGATGAATTTTACATGTTCCTTGTTTAATGTTCGGTAAACAATAAGATAACATAGCATCCAGGGAGCACTCAGGTGGGAATCCGAATATGCCCTTGCGTGTGCGTTTACTCTAATTTATTAAATGAAAGAATATCTATAAATTTTTTTGCAATTTGTTTAATTATTTTTCATTACACAAGACTTAAGAATGTATCACACGTACAATCTTTGCAAAGAAAATTAAATTTGGAAATGTGTTTAATACTTACATACACTTCAAATAAATATATTAGAGCACAAATATATTAAAAAAATACTTTAATAAATACTACTATTTATTAAAATAACTTATGATCCAGATAATAAACCATCACTAAATTTGTCGTTTTTAAATGTGATTTAGAATATATAATATAATTTTTTCATAATTTTTTTGTTATCATTTTGAAAATATGTATAAAACATCCTTAAATGGAAAAATGTATATACAGTCCGGATATATAAAAAAGTAATTGCACCTCTGATTGCGAATAAAAATTGTTCATGTTGAATGCCTTAATGTTTCGCACTCAATACATCAAGATAAATGATAATCAAGCGATCATATCATCATGAATAACATTGTGCATCGGAAATAAGGAAAACCGATATATACTTTAACCGATATAATATACGTATAATTATGTATTACATAAAACGATTAGTTTTTTATATGAAAACACAACATGTTGCGGTTCTGTAAATGGCTACCAGCAGAAAAAACAGCTTTGCAACAAGCTTGTAAAATTCTTTAATATGATTGGTCTTGCCTTTAATTCTTCACTGGATCTAAATATATAAACCAATAATAATAAAAATTATATTAAAGAATTTTACAACAGTTGCAAAGCTGCTTTTTCTGCTGAACGCAATTAATTCTTCGAACGCGTCAATAAATAAAGTGCACTACCGGCTGAGGCAAGTATTTTTCAACAAATTATTCGCAGATTTAAGATTCTCATTAAAATCAGATTGATTAGATTATTAATATTCTTATAAAGATGCTTATTAGCATAAACATTGCTTATCAATTTAATAATACTACTTTGATTCCGCTCATAATTACGTTTTATGACCGAAAAAAATTTTAGCATTCGATTTGTAGAATCAGTAAATTTGTATATAAATTTATGCAGAAATATTTAATCATTGAGATCCGCTTTGACCGAATATAGGATTTCATTTATTTAATTAAATTTATTCTCATTGGTCCAAATCCTTATTATAATTATTCACTGATATGTAGATGGATTGCTGATTAACATTGTTAAGGCGTCTCATAATTTTATTTTAATATTCTTATTTATTTTAAAATAGTATGAACATTATATGTGAATACTACAAGCAAAACAGTAATGCCATAGTATTCATAGTCAGGCCTTATATTTAAGGCTTCCTTAAATTTATCTTTAGATACTTTACGAATTATTTCATTGGCTATTGAGCATCTAAAGATAAATTTAAGAAAGCCTTAAATATAAGGCCTGACTATGAATACGGGTCTAAAATACGGTTAATTTGATATTTGAACTATTATTTTTTACAATAAATTTTATACATGACATTATTTTCGTCAAATTTAAAGATTGGTATTCATAAAGTTTGTTTTTATGTTAATATAGTCCTGTGGTTGATTAATAGCATCCTTAAGATATTATAAACCAATCACACACAGAGCCATTTTAGCATTTTAAGACTTAAATTACTGTGTTACTGTTATAGTTATAAAAAAAGGTAACGCCGTTATCAATCCAATATCAAAAGAAAGTAACTATTATATAATGGTAACGGCGTTACAAATAACGAATTATTTTCAATCTCAGTCAAAAAGATTAATGGTTATGATTTTTATGAAAAAAATTGAAATCAAATACATTTTATTTCATGGTTTCTATACATTTTATAGCATAAAACTACAATAGAAGCATGGATTACACTAATAATTATAACATCTTAAAATTTCTATCTTGTCTGAAAAAAGAAACGTTTTCAAATATAAAATATTCAGTATATAACTTCATAGATGATTAACATTTTCGATTCTTTCTGCGCTCTCCTTATTTCAGCAATTATGAATCAGCATTCTTCTTTTTCATATCCTCGACAGATTTTGCGACAAGAGCATCCCATTGTTCAAGTTTATTTTGTTTAAACCAATTCTTTATCTCAGTAAACATTTCTTTTTGTCTTTCAGTACATTTTTTACAATTAGTTTGGATAACTTCGCTCATAATCCCTGCAATTAAATAAAGAAAGCTCCTGACATATTTTTCATAGTAAACATAAAATTCTTTCTTTCCTCTTTCTCTTTCTCTATTTTTGTCCTTCATTATAATTAACAAATATGTATGGAATATTGAAAAATGACATTTGAAATAAAAAAGGCCGATTTTATTTTTATGCAATTTTTACAAAAATATATAAAATAAAAATAATTCTTTTTCATCATATTTTAAAATAATTAGAAAATTTATCCAAAAATTGACGTTACAATAATCTCTGATTGTCTCAAACATAAGATTTAATATTTCTTACACATGAATATATATGGGATATTTATTTTTAAATTGCTTTCGAATGATGTAATCTTTACGCAATTTACTGCGTCTTTTAGGAAAAATTCGAAATATGTTATTATTTCAAATTTTCTCTTGCAAATTTTTTTGTTATATGTGTATCTTTTTGATTAAGTCTTCTGAAAGAAAATATGTTTTTCCCAAATTAAATGAAAAATATTTATTTATTTGATTATTTTTTTTGTTTATGCTCATCGTTAAAAATTTCTTATACAACATTAATTATTTTGAAACTACTGATATACATGAACTTGGCTTCTAATTGATTAAAGAATCTGTCATAAAAATTTATTTGTCGAAATTCTGAATGTAAGTATACCTTGAAAGAATTTCGCGTCTTCTGTCAGGCATGGGTCCTTTTCCATATAACAATTGTAATATTCTTCTCGTAATTTGTCATTTTGAAGGATACTTGAGACGTCAACATTGTCGAACCGATCGGAGTAAAGTTCTTCCGCCAGAACGCACATCAGTGCAATACCGATGATCACGATGTAGCTTAATCGAGCCATGATTTCTCCTATTTTTGCACTAACTTTTAAGAAACTGAACAATTGATCAAATACGCATCTTATTTATACACTCAGCACGAGATAAAAACATTGACGTATAAGAATGATAAATACCTTGTAATATAAAAGTAGCTTGTTACTGCATAATGAGAAAAAATTAACTATGATAGTATCTAAATTATCCTTTCAGTCATACAAATATAAATTTGAGTATGTGTGGTTAATAGCAACGTTACGTAAATAACATAAATGTTTTCATAAAGTTTCTCTTCCAGGTAACAATTTTCAACGTCTTGTAAGTTAATGGAACAAAATAAACGGAATAAATTCTAAACTAATATTTTTATTTACTGTTAAAAAATTGCCAAAGATAATAATTTGTTGCTCTGTAAGTTTTTTAAAAAATAATATTCCGTTAAAGGAACGTTAAGTTAGCGGAACAATATATATATATTATATGTATATAATAAATTGTACTTAATAATGTATATGAAGTTGTACTTAATAATAATGTTAAGGAATTTGTTGTGCTAATTTGTTGTTGTCAAAACATTTAAATTTTGTTGATTGCAAAATAAATGTAAATAACAACGAAAAACGTTTCAGCGTACAAGCGATTGCAACAGTAAAGTACCAGAAAAAAAATTTGTTTCTCTCTTTGATATTGAGGTCTCTGGATTCTTCGAGAATAATAAATTCAAATAATACCTCAATACCAATTTTAAATAATTTTTGCTGGCACTTTACTCTAGTTATTGATGTTTTTTGTCGTTATTTACACATAATTTGCAAGTAACAAATTCGAAATTTGCATATTTGGAGAGCAACAAATTGTTCCACTAATTTATAAGACGTGCTGCGATGAGAAACTAATCTAAAGTATGTAGATGTTCTTGATATAATATAATCGATATCATTGCACCGGGAGAAATATGATTACCTTTGTTAAGCCCAAGACACAATGCGAGGGAATAACGATAGCGATAACATAATTTCAATCTATCAGAAACTGTGTATTCCGGTGTATCCAATTTCTAATAGATTGAAATCGTATTATTCCTATCGCTATCGCTATTCCCTTGCATTGTGTCTTAGGCTTTAAGGATATGTCCGGATATGTCTGTAAATATTAATCATCGATAAATATGAAAACATTAATGGTAAGGAGAAATAAATTAGAACGCCCACAAAATATAAACGCACATTTATACTCACAAATTATACTATATATTATACATCACGTTATTTAAATATTTTTATACATTATTGCATATTTTTATGCATTATATTTACTGCCTATTTTGCGAAATCGAATTGTTTTTTGTTTTAGAAAAAATTTCAGTTGATTAGATAGAGATAGAAGTAGTGTTTCATGAAAAAATTGACAGTCACGTTAAATATTAGATATGCATGTGTATATTAAGGTGACTGTGCTATTAATTATGAGAGAATAATAATATGTATTCTGATTATATATAAAAATTATGTTTTTTTTTATGTATGTTTGTCAAATGAGGATGTTGCAAATAAATATCCTAATTTGTATCGATAAAAGTAACGGTTACGGTTTTCAAATAACAAAGATGAAATCAATTGCACTTCTATTTTATTATTAATATTTATAACATAATATACAATACAAGCATTGATTGTACTAATTATTATAACATTTAGAAATTTCTCTGTTTTCTAAACAGAATGTTTCTGAATATAAAAGCTTTAGTAATTTTATAGATGATTAATTCATTTTCGATTCTTTTTCTGTATTCTCCTCGTTATTTGAGTTATTTCAGCAGTTGTTAGCAATTATGCACCTCCGTTCTTCTTTTTTAGGTTTTCAATAGTCTTTGCGACGAAAGCTTCCCATTGTTCAGGTTGATTTTTTGTATACCAATCCACTATTGAATCCATTATTTCCTTTTGTCTTTCAGTACATTTCTTACATTTAGTTTGGAGAGCTTCGCTAACAACCTCTAAAATCAAATCAAACAAAGCTTTTGACATATTGATTTTAATTCATAGTAAGCATGAAATTCTCTTTCTTCTCTTTCTTTCTTCATTTTTTTCCTAATTAACATGTGTGTATAGAATATTGAAAAATTAAGTTAGAAACAAAAAATATTTGACAAGTCGATATCCACATGCAATTTTTACAAAGAATAAGATCGAGAACCTTCTATATTTTTAAGAAATCAGAAAATTTAGTCAAAAAACTCTATGATATATATACAAAACTCTATGATTGTTCCAAATAATACGTAATGTTTTCATATATATGTATTGAATGTTTGCTTGTATTACTATTTCATTACATTTAATTATTTAAATAATGCAATCTTTGAGCAATTTTTTGTCAATTTTTAGGAAAAATTTGAAATATGTTATTATTTCACTTATCATAACTTTAAAATTTTTTAATTATATTTATATCTTTTTGATTGTCTTCTGAATGAAAATATGTTTTCAAATTAAATAAAAAATATTTATTTGGTAATTTCTATGTTTATCCTTAATGTCAGAAGTACCTTATTTATATGGTCATTAATTATTTCAAAACTTAATATATACAGACTGTTGAGAAATACTTGATTTCTAAGTGATTAAAGAGTCCGTTGTGAAAATTTATTCATTGAAATATTTTGTGCATAAGTATATACCTTTGAAGAACTTCGCATCTGCTGTTACGCATGGCGCTGTTTCCATAAAGCAACTGTAATATTGCTCTCGCAATTTATCATTCTGAAGGATACTATCAGCGTCAATGTAGTCGTACCGATCGGAATAGAGTTCTTCTGCCAGAACGCACAACAATGCAGTACTGATAATCGTCACAGTGTAGCTAAATCGAGCCATTTCTTTCTTCTGTTTTCGTAATAACTGAGACTGAACGATCGATATGCATCTTTTTATACATTTAATATGAGATAAAAAATTATGACGTGTAAGATGATGACTGGTAGTATATACCTGGTAGTAATAAGAATCGCATGTCTCTGATTGTAAATAAAAAATTCACTGTGCTAATTATCTTAACCAACTTATCCTTTATTGGTCATGTATTATATAAATATGCTCATAACACGTTAAAGTTCTAGATATTTCCAGGAATTAATAATTCTTATAAATGTAGTATAATATTTCTTGAAGTCAACTTCGCATTTATTTTAATATAAAATAATATGTTATGATGAGAGAGAGAGAGAGAGAGAGAGAGAGAGAGAGAGAGAGAGAGAGAGAGATTTTATTTATTGTAGCAAATATGCTAAAATTAGAACTGAACTTTTTGGCAATAGGATAATTCCTGTTCAAATTTTAAATTTATCGAATGTCTCGTAAAATTGCAGCTCCTCTTAAAATATTTTAAACGACTATCTTTTCTCTGAAATATGTCTACACCTAAACAATTTCAAATATTATCTGAATTCAGGTAAAGAAGCAGGGATTAAGTACAGATATTTTGTACATATATTGCCCTAGTTTACATCATGCACTTGATACGGGTACTAACTAGTAACTTTCTATTGAGTTATCTTAATTTCGGCGATACGTGTAACCATATACATGTGTGTTTAATTAATCATTTTGAGCATATTGTACAAATTTAGTATATCAGTCTTTAAATACATTGCTTAAATTAAGATAATTTAATAGAAAATTACTAGTTAGTACGCGTATCAAGTGCACGATAGAAACTAGGCCATTGAAAAATGAAATCTTTTTCATTCTATATTTGTATATCAAGAATATTGTATTATTTTGAACATCTGACTTTGACCGATCATTGGCGCTCTCTGCATGTATGTTGTACATTTAAACGGTCGGATCTTATTTCTTATATCTTTTTCATTTTATTTGCAATGATTATTATTTTCACTTCAATTTTCCTTAATATCTTTCTATTAGATAAAATGGTCGCATTTTCAACAATTATTAAAAATAATTGTGGTACCTTGACACATCATCTGTTGAAAAAATTCTAAATTATATTTCGGATTAGAAAATAACAATTTAAAATATCAGAAAATGATATGTCTCAATGAACCTAGTCTTAAATGACAAAATCTTGAATCATTAATTTAAATCTGTAGATTGGATATATTACTACATAAAATTCTCTACTTGTCAACTTTTTATAGAATTGTAAATCGTTCTAATTATTGTTTTATAATTGTGTACTGGATAAAAATATTAAATGTATATGATTTCCGAGACTTAAATGCTGCTTTCGAAAATATAATCTTGAAACTTATTGATAACTTTTCTTTTAACAGGAGTCTTTTTTTAATACTTTACACACACATTCTGGATGGTATTAGGAAGTCATCTGTACAGTTTTAAAAAAAAGTCCCTCTTAGAAAAAAAGTTATTAAAAAATTATCTTTGGAGAGAGAGAATTTCCGTCCGTCTGCCGAGTTAATTTGTTAATAACTTTCTAAGAGGGGCCTTTTTTTTAAAACTGTACAGGTGACTTCCTAATACCACCCAGAATGTGTGTGCAAAGTTTTAAGAAAAGGATTCTCTTAGCAGAAAACTTATTAATAAATTTCCAGGTAAGATCATATTTCCGAATGCAGCATTTAATTGATTTCTCGGAAATCATATATACTGTTTTTTTATCATGTTTTTTTTTGTTGAACCTGAAATATCACTTTGTAAAACTGTTTTGTAAGACAAGTGATACATAACGTTTGTATTGATATCATTTGCTTAGAACAATTTTTTTGCGCAATATACGCTCAAATCATCATGGTGGAAATATACAGGTGTAGCATTCCCGTGGTTGCGCAGTAGCCAACCAATGGGAAATTTAACCCGAAATGCAAAACACAAAAGAACACGATGTTGCACGAAGTCGTCCGAGCTAAGCGTAACCATGTTCCGTGTCATGTATAAATTAGTGATTGCACGTAGAAGATATTATTACTTTGGAATCTATCGCAGATTAGTTGATAAAAGTAAGTCAGTTATCGCTTTGTTTGGTGGTCATTGCTTGCCATTGCAGTGATAATGTATTTAATAATATAACATTTTCAATTTCGTGCTGAGCTTCTCGCATTTCGGGTCAAATATCTCATTGGTTCCCCCATTCCAGATTACCCCCGCCACGCAGCCCAGGATGCACAATGCTACACCTGTATATTTCCACCATGCAAATCCTAACTGTATTGAGAACCGCTGGTCGAACGCGGCGCGCGCGCGTCTGCTAAGTCCATCTGCTATTTTCAGCGTCATAAACATAAATTATTTTTGACACAAGAAATCTTACGAACTGTTTATATTACATTCGATCTTATATTAGATCTGTTCTTTTCAGCAATTCTCTTGCACTATTCATTTTTCCTCTTTTTTTTCTCCTTGTTCTATATTTTTGTCATTCTTTATTACTTTTTGTTACTTTAAAATTTATAATGGCTTATGTTATGATTATTGAATCATTTTAAATATTCTGCAAGTAGAACAAAATTGTATAGAAAATATACACATTATGTCAAAGTTTAGCAAATGTTTTTAACATTATTTATTTATTAAAACTGCATTAGGGTGAATGCCACCGTCTGTGGCCACCTTAAATATTTATATAACTTTAAGAAATTTTTTTTTAATAATATATAAAAAGGAGATACTATTTATTTAAATACATTGTTTAATGTCTTAGTTTTTAATATTCAAAAAGGATTTAAGGAAAAAAGCGAATGTATAATAAAAAAGTTAAATAGTTGCAAAAATTTTATTTTATACCATTTTTGGCCACCTATTTACCTGCTATCATTACGAGGCTGACTATTAATTATTTGATGGCTACTAGTATTGTCTGCTATACTTGTGTCATATGTAGTTATTGATAACACAGGTCAACAAGGAATATTTGAGGATATATACTCGAAAAATGCGTTTTTTTGCTATTTTCGAAGTTATGATCATTAGAGTTTTCCACGTATAGTGAAGAAAGAAAAACCGATATTTGTCAATAAACAAACAACTTATTATTTTTTTTATACACACCTGCAAAATATCCTTTTTTATGCATTCAGGTGCTTCGTTTATCGAGCGAATTTCGAGCATCCTAAAACTTTCAGCGAGAAAGTTGTTCATTCGGATATGAACAAATGTTCTGGAAAGTTTCATTTTCATTGCATTAATAAGTTTAAAACTAATGATTTGTTTAAAGTTGGTAGACGCCTTGCACTCAGAGCCGCAGCGCACAAGACGCGCTGTCCGTTATTCAAGGTCCTAATATATAAACAGTCACAATTGTGACTGTTTGCTGTCTTAACAATGGCCCCGCGTAAGTGTTTAAATGATCCTAACAGTTTTTGTTATATTTGTGGTCGTTTCACGTTTGTTAAGAACAGGAACGAAAAAGACGGGAAAAACGGTTACGCAAGTGGGTTAAAATGCCCGTAACTTGGCGAAAAAAAATCGTAGGTAGTCGATCAATATCTCATTTTGAAGGGTAAGAATATTACTAAATGATGCAAATAGCACAAAAGACCCAAAAAATTGGTTGCGTCCTGTACATAACCTCTAAAGTAGCATAAAAACGCATTTTTCGAGTATATATCCCCTAATATCTCAAAATCCTGACGTGATGGGCCAATTCTGGTTTCAGATTCGGATTCTACGCAGAAAATTACTTCGGAAATGACCCACAGCTTCCCGACAACATCCAAGACCCCCTTTTTTGTAGACCTGTGTAAATTATTCTACTTACCGCGTTTCGGAGATTCTTATCGTTTTTGACAAGATGACTGTGTCTTGAGTGTATTCCGTAGAAAATAATTTTTTTATAATATGAAAGAGGAAACGTGAGGTTACTTGTCACATTATTAAACAAGAGAAATAATTGCGACGCGCATGTGTCGTGATTGCTGCGCACTAGAACCAAAACTAGAAGAATCTAATAAGCGAAGAGATGGCGAAAATGGATGCAGTGACTACAAACGGTGCATTCATTCTATATACAATAAAAAATGTGTAAATGCAACTTCTAAGGAAAAATTGATCAAATTATTAACAGATATCTTTTATTATCTCTTCTATTCGCACATTTTTCGTCTTACGCATTACAAAGAGTTTTAAGAAGATATACAAGATATGTTGCAATCATTTTCTATAACATTTGTTAGATATATGGTATTTTCTTTTATTTGATGCGCGAATTGCATGTTTTGCGTATTACATTGCGTGTTGCGTTTTGCATTTCGCGGTCGAGTCCTTCACTGCCTGAGCGGAATAGTTCTCTCTTAATATTCCATATTATACATACATATATACACACACATATGTATATTGTATATATACAGGTGATTCACTTAAATCGACTATCTGAAATATCTCGCTTATTTTTGATGATATAATATGTTAAACATATGTTTCAAATGAAAATGGAACGATTTCGAGGGGAACGTTTTTTTTTTCTAGGTAGAAGCGCCAAAAAGATATGAAGGTCACCTCCATTTTTTTAAATGGAATTGTATAATTTTTTTACACAATATTTCTTTAATTATTCTGCATATAAAAGTATTAAGGTAGAAATATCAAAAAACCAAGTAGTTTACGAGATATTTTATACTTTATTCCGGCACATATTGATATAAAATATTAAATAACTTGTAAACTATTAATTTTTTTATGATCGCACCTTAATATATTACTTTTATGAACAGAATACTTAATATAATACTTTTATGAACAGAATAATAACATGAATCAATTGATGTAAAGAAAACACATAGTTGCATAAAAAATATGTATATGCAAAATGAATAATTTTTTAAATAAGCAATTATGTGTTTTCTTTCCATCAATTGATTCATCTCATTATTCTGTTCATAAAAGTATTAAGGTATTAATATGATTATCAAAAAATTAATAGTTTACGAGATATTTAATATTTTATGCCAACATGTGACAGAATAAAGTATAAAATATCTCGTAAACTATCGGTTTTTGAATATCACTACCTTAATACTTTTATATTCAGAATAGAGGAATCATATGGAGTAAAAAAAATCATACAATTCCATTTAAAAAAGTGATGGTGATGTTCAATTAATTATTAGAAAGGACGCACTGGCACTCCTTGGAGATTTAAGAATATCAGATCAAAGTGTAGTATATAATTATTTGCATGCATGTGCTCTAATACTATACATTTCTAAACATATGAGAATATTGTTGCATTTTGATTATATAAAACTATCATCTTCTTTTTATGCATATTTATCAAATAAGGATGTTGCAAAAGTAGTAGAATTTGTATCGACAAAATTAATGATTTTCAAGAACTAAAGATGAAATTTCAATTATCCTTCTTTATTTTACTTCTAATATTTATAACATAATACTACAATACAAGCATTGATAATTACGGCATCTAGAAATTTTTTTGTTTCCTAAAGAGATATTTTCGAACATAAAAGTAATTTTACAGATAATTAACTCATTTTTTATTTTTTCCGTGTTATCCTCGTTATTTGAGTTATTTCAGCAGTTGTTAGCAATTATGCACCTTCGTTCTTCTTTTTTAGATTTTCAATAGTCTTTGCGACGAAAGCTTTCCATTGTTCAGGTTTATTTTTTGTATACCAATCCACTATTGAATCCATTATTTCCTTTTGTTTTTGAGTACATTTCTTACATTTAGTTTGGAGAGCTTCGCTAACAACCTCTAAAATCAAATCAAACAAAGCTTTTGACATATTGATTTTAATTCATAGTAAGCATGAAATTCTCTTTCTTCTCTTTCTTTCCATGCAAAATTATATTATATGCGATATCCATGCAATTTTTACAAAAAATAAGATCGACTTCTTTCGACATATTTTTAAGAAAATAGAAAATTTATTTAAAACTCAGCTATACAAAAATCAGTGATTGTTCCGAATGATACGTAATGTTTCTCTTGCATATGTATTAGATATTTACTTCTATTACTACTTCATTACATTTAATGCAATCTTTGAGCAATTTAATGTCAATTTTTAGGAAAAATTTGAAATATGTTATTCAATTTTTGCAACTTTCAAATTTTTTAGTATCACCTATATGCGTATATTTTTATATTAAAGGCTTCTATTTTGTATTTAATAATGATATCGTTAATGATATCGTTATGTTGTGCAGCTTTGTTACCATTGCGAAACCTACGCAAAGACAATGTAACAATGATATTGTCATTAAGAGTTACAGAATAAGGGTCTAAGTCTCTTGAAAATAATAATATGTTCTTCCCAAATTAAATGAGAAATATTTATTTGGTAATTTTTTTTATTTATATTTATTGCCAGAAGTTCCTTAATATGGTCATTAATTATTTCAAAACTATATATATATATATATAGATTGTTGAAAATACTTTATTTCTAATTGATTAGAGAGTCCATCGTAAACATTTATTTGTTCAAATATTCTATGCATAATTATATCCGATACCTTTAAAGAATTTTGCATCTGCTGTTACGCATGGCGTCGTTTCCATAAAACAATTGTAATATTGATCTCGCAGTCTATCGTTCTGAAGAATACTCATGACGTCAATGTTGTCGTACCGATCGGAGTAGAGTTCTTCCGCTAGAACGCACATCAATGCGATATTAATGATCGTCACAATGTGGCTAAATTGAATCATCTTTCGTCTATTTTCACACTAATACATGAGATACTGGATGACCGATCAAATGTGCACCTTATTTATACATTTAGCATGAGATAAAAAATTAACATACGTAAGATGACAAATACCCTGGTATAGTATGAAGATTGCTTATCTCGAATTGTCAATGAAAAAAATGACTATGATGATTATCATATATAAATTATTCACGTTTATTAAGCTGGCACAACCATTTCAACACAATCAAACAACCTGCTTGTAGAATATTCTGATCCCAACTTTATTGCTCATTGTTTTAGTTAAAAAATTCGACCAATAGTGTGGGTGTGCTAGCTCGCGTACAAGAGTAAAGTACATTAAAGCAATTAATTGCTGGGCTAATTATGGTCTTAAAATGTCTCTAGAATTAATTGCTTTAAGAATAGTTTGCTCCCAATTCCGAATTTATTGCTCATTGTTTCAGTTAAAAAAATCTTATTAGAAGTGTGGTGGTGCTATGTGTACGTATGATGACCGATATTAGTATAGCTATAATTATTTAAAATTTTCGATGTTTCTTTGCAGTATCTTAAAGCAAAAAAGTAGCAAAAGATTTTGATATATGTATTTTTTTGTTTACGGTACTTTATATGTGTTTTACGGAAGTGGGGGTGTTAGCATAACGTGAAGTTAGTACTCCCACTTTTGAAATTAATTTCCTGTAAATGGAAAAGAGCAAAAAATTCGAGACTAGAGCAAATAATTAGCAAAAAAATAGCTCTACAAAAATATGTATTTGATTTTTCATTTGTTGCTTTTTTTCTTTGTGACTGTGCTAACTTTAGTCTAAGCTAGCACATGTCATAGCAAATCAGCTGAAGCAAAAAAATCGGGAATAAAGCAAAAAATGTAGGAAGAAAGAGAGAAAAGAGATGAATGATTCAAGAAGTTTAACTAAAAAGAACAGATCCAATATGATCGAATGCTTGAGATCTTGTGTCAAAAATAATTTTATGTTATTCGGTACTTATGTAATTAGAACGATCCAATTTTATGAAAAGTTAACAAGTTTGGGTGCAAAAATATTTCAGAGAAAAGATAGTCATTTAAAACATTTAACAAAAAATAGCAAAAAAATGTAGTATAGGTCTCGTTTGATTGCGTTGAAGTGACAACTTAATAGACTCTGTGTCAACTTAATAGACATAAATTTATTAGTAATGCATTATACATATAAAAGAACTGAATAAAATATTGTAATTATATACCGGAAAATGTTTACATAACCTGTTTTCTACGTTTAAGGAAATTCCAAGCATTAAAATAATTTTAAATGCAGTATAATATTTTTTATAGTCAACTTTGCACTTATTTTAAAATAAAATAACATATTGCGATAATGTTATTTATTGTAACAAATATGCTATAATTGAGTGAATGGGCGGAATAAAGGCACGTGGATCGTTCTAATTACATAGGTACCGAATAACATAAAAAAATTATTTTTAACACAAGATCTTTTGCATTCGATCATATTGGATCTATTCTTTTTAGTTAAACTTCTTGAATCATTCATCTCTTTTTTCTCTTTCTTCCTACATTTTATTGTTTAGTTATGATATAACAGAAAAAAAATACGATAGCTTTATATAAAAGCCATTTTATTTTTTCTCTGTTATTTCATAAATAGATAATGTAGATCAATGATAATCCGGACTTTTTTATCTTAAAATATTACTATTAGAATTGATATGACTCATTTAATTCCGGGAAACTATTAGCTATTTAATTAAAGCATTTATGATATTCTTTCCTTATTTTAATATGTACATCTTTTTTGCACATTATCACACGAATATATATATACAATTGTGTGTGTTGTTCGCTATTTAATATTTTATTTGGCTGTACACATTTTCGATGCACTTACAATAGCATAACATTTTACTAATGTAGCCTTCTAAGCATACTCATCGCTGACAGCCCCTTTTTCGAGGTTTTCATATATAAAAATAATTATTCGATAAATCGATTGTAGCTCTACTGCTAATCTACATTCATACTATATGTGGATACTATAGATTTTTAGTACTGAGGCTATATGCAAAAAAAGTTACGTATATGTATATATATTTCCATACATTCTGTAATATTTTATTGTTTTTTGTGAATATATAATTATATATATATATATATAACCAAATACTGTTTTTTAAACAAAACCAATTTTTTAAATATATTTTTGTAGAGGGGCCACATTAATTACTACCTCCATTTCTCTTGGATTCGTTATGCAGTGTCGTCATATTTTTATAAATAAATAATATTAAGGCTCGATTATCTAGAGGCGCTATATTGGTTATATAATATCAAATTAATGGCTATGTACAGCTTTATGTTTTAGTTTTCTTTTAAAAATATAATTATTTCATAATCTTAAAACTTGTAAAATATGCAGTAAACTGAGACGTCTGTCCGATATGTCATGTAATAGAAGGGTAAAATTCTGAAATAATGCAGCGGTTTTACAGCTTAAAAATGTATCATTATTTCAACAATTATTTTATACTTCTACATGACATATCAAACAGATGTTAGTTTGCCTCGTATTTTATAAATTTCAAAATGATGAAATATATATTTTTTTTAAATGTAATAAAACTGTAACAATTAAGTTGATACAACCAATTATTTTGATATCTAATAGACATTTTTTTAGATATCTTATACAACATACATGGGAATCGATCTTAAATTAGACTCGAAGTGCACTTCGCAATAACCGAGTCTTAAGTAATAAATATTTTATAACTTTGAGTCTAATTTAAGATCGATTCCCAGATAATATGTTGCTTAAGGTATCTAAAAAATGTCTATTAGACATGTTTTAGATATAAGACATTTAAAAATGTTTTTTATATATCTTATGCATAAATGTTATCTGAGTTGAACACTTTGACGAATGTAATTCATTAAGTTCTAAATTTAAATATACATTGATTATTAACAAAGTTAAATTAATATATAAAATGTGGTGGCCATTCTTTTCCTCTATGGGTGTGGTCGATAAGTCTCACTACAAATGCTTTAAAGTGTTTGATTGACCAATTAAAAGAAAGAATTTTACAAATTGACCAATCAAGGAATGTTTCAAAGCGTTTGTATTATGTTGATCGTATCGTATTACATATGTATATAAAAACATAGCAAGTATATATAGTAAAATACGCGTAATTTAGATCGTGTTCCGATGTACACTGCCAGTAATGAAATACGTAAGCTGTAGATTTTCAATGACAATGTATATCGCAATGTGGTCTTAATATATCTGAATTGTAAAGCCAGTTGGCATTATTGCAAATTTAACGCGTGAGAAAAAAATAGATTGTCTGTTTGTCTTTTTCTATATTATCGGAAGATGGTCGAAGCTCCGGACGCACATGTGTGTGTGTGTGTGTGTGTGTGTGTGTGTGTGTGTGTGTGTGTGTGTGTGTGTG